CCCCGTTATTCCCGGTGTTTTCCCGCTGTTATTCCCACTGTTCCCCCTGATATTCCCGGTGTTATTCCCGCCGTTCCCCCGCCGTTTTTCCCGGTGTTTTTCCCGGTGTTTTTCCCGCAGTTTCCCTGTGTTTTTCCCGCCGTTCCCCCGTTATTCCCAGTGTTATTCCCGGTGTTATTCCCGCCATTCCCCTGCCATTATTCCCGCTGTTATTCCCGCTGTTCCCCCCTGTTATTCCCGGTGTTATTCCCGGTGTTATTCCCGGTGTTATTCCCACCGTTCCCCTGCCGTCATTCCCGCTGTTATTCCCGCCGTTCCGCCTGTTATTCCCGGTGTTTTCCCGCTGTTATTCCCGCCATTCCCCCAGTGTTATTCCCGGTGTTATTCCCGGTGTTATTCCCGCTGTTTCCCCGCCGTTATTCCCCCTGTTTTTCCCACCGTTCCCCCGGTGTTGCTTCCGGTGTTATTCCCGCCGTTCCCCCGTTATTCCCGGTGTTATTCCCGGTGTTTTTCCCGCCGTTCCCCGCCCTTTTTCCCGGTGTTGTTCCCGGTGTTTTTCCCACAGTTTCCCCCTGTTATTCCCACTGTTCCCCCGTTATTCCCAGTGTTATTCCCGCTGTTTTTCCCGTTTTTCCCAGTGTTATTCCCGCCGTTTTTCCCGGTGTTGTTCCCGCTGTTTTTCCCGCCATTCCCCCGTTATTCCCAGTGTTATTCCCACCGTTTTTCCCGCCGTTCCCTGCCGTTTTTCCCAGTGTTATTCCCGCTGTTTCCCCGCCGTTATTCCCCGTTTTTCCCGCCGTTCCCCCGTTATTCCCAGTGTTTTTCCCGCCGTTCCCTGCCGTTTTTCCCAGTGTTATTCCCGCTGTTTCCCCGCCGTTTTTCCCTGCGTTTTTCCCGCCGTTCCCTGCTGTTTTTCCCAGTGTTATTCCCGGTGTTATTCCCGCCGTTCCCCCGTTATTCCCGGTGTTATTCCCGCTGTTTTTCCTGCGGTTTCCCCCGTTATTCCCAGTGTTATTCCCGGTGTTATTCCCGCCATTTTTCCCAGTGTTTTTCCCGCCGTTTTTCCCAGTGTTATTCCCGGTGTTTTTCCCGCCGTTCCCC